AGACTGAGTTAGTGTCTAAGCATCTCCAAATAAACTAGATATTGCCAGACCATTCTCCAAAGTAGTAACAAGTTTCGTCAGCAAAAGTAATAGTCCATTGCTCCAAACTCAACAACACGTAAGAGTCAGAATTGTTTTTCATTTGTACCTATCAGACAGCAGTGAAATAGTTATCTCAATGTTGTTTTAATATGTAGTACTTTATTCTGGGCTAGGCTTTAAGGATGAGTTTATAGTCTAGCAAAGTATCTAAGAATGTTAGAAGAAAAGTATTTATTCTTTCCTTTGCTGCCTCTTACATTTTTGTAAGCTATTGCTATAAACCATTTCCTGTGAGAAAGTCAGCTTCCATCTTTAATTTGGAGAATCATCCATCTTCATGCATGTATTTTGTCATGGCAAACTGTTGATGATTAGTGAAGGGCATACCACCAAGCACCGCTCTCCCAAATCGTAAGGAAAACCTCTTATGGTTAAAATAAAGGCAAAATCCTTTACGGTACCATTAGCCTTTAACCATTCCTACTGATCATGTCCAAATCCCAGCCCACTTGATTTTTAGGGTGTCTAAGGCAGATGTTAAGGAAGCTTTCCCAGTGCCACTTTGGGGCAGGGACACAGGGTGCTGGGGACCAAGGCCTGCCTTCCTTTTGGATTCCATCTTCAACCAGCCCACCAACAAAATGAAGAGAGCAAGACACGTATCTATCTTGTACTGTCAGTTATATCCATGTGCCCTTCTTCACTTCAATCTCCCCAATACTGAACATGTTCTCCAACTGAAAAATTAAGTCCAAAATGTGGCTCGCTTCCAAGCTCCAGAGACCAAAAAAAAAAAAAAGCAGGGGAAAAAAGGATGTTGAAAATTTGACAATTCTAATTCATTTCCATGGTTTAGGGAGCTGCTAGAGCAGAATACATGAAACTGGCAGACTAGATCTCAAATCTGGAGTCTAGCCAAAAAAGATTTAATGAGGTTACTTGCACTTGAATAAGTGAGTGAGTAAACAAAGACCTTCTCAGGTGGGAACAGAGATCAGGAGAATAGAAGTCAAGGAAAATACATAATTTCACACTGACTGAGGCCCACTAGGTTGACAGTGGGGCACAAAAGGTGAGGTGGGCTTGCCATCATAAAGCACCTAGATGTTAGCAAAATACCTAGGACAGAGAGTGATAGGTCCTAAATGAAGGATGGTGTGAGCAGGAAGGAAGAATGTGAGGAAAGTTTAAGATGAATAAAATTTTGGACCTCCCTGGTGGGCTGGGGATAAGTCCCAGTACTATCACCCCTAAGGCCTGAGTTTGATCCCCGACCAGGGAGCTAACCCACATACCACATATTGCACAGCAGACCTCTCCTGTCTCACCAGCTCCCCTGCTCCCCTCAGCAGCGTATTTCAGTAAATCCACCTGTTCTGCTCCCCACTGTCTCTGGTGAATCCTCTCACCTTCAAGCCTCTAGCCTATACCCAGTTCCTCTATGCAAAAATAAATGAAAATCTTAAATAAGTAAATAAATAAAATAAAAATACCCATGTTTGCTGGGTGGTAAACACAAGGTATGAGTATAGTAATTCTCAGATTTGGTATCATGTACATGGCTAAGGTTTGATGAGCAAGGAGATGATGAGCTCAACTTTGAAAACGTATTTGACGTGATAATGAGATAGCCAAGTAGAGGGCAGGCAACATTTTTATTAACACTTATTACATGGCAAACACCGTTTCGAGTACACTTTACAAGAAAGATCGCATTTACTCACACTAACATTATGATGCAGGTTCTACTGTCATCCCTATATTTCACAGATGGGAAAACTGAGGCACAAGAGTGAACTGAGGCCCAGTCACACAGCTAGTAAATGGCTGAGTCAGAATTTGAACTTGGATTCAAATTATTAAGTAATTGCACCCAGAACCACATGGATATTACTTATCAATAAATAAGTAATGAGCACCATTACACTGTAGGCACTAGAGGTGGGAAAGAGGGAGGAAAGCAGTTGTGAGGAAGACAGACACGGAACCTACATGCACGGACGGCCTGTGAACATTAAAAAAATAATACAGTCAGCCCTCCAATCCCTCCCCCGCCGCCCCCCCCACACCACCACACATACAGCCTCCACATCCATGGATTCAATCAACCTTGGGTCAAAAGTATACACTATGTGTTTTAGGCCTGGTATGGTTGCATCTGTGCCGAATGAACATGTATAGGCTTTTTTTGGTCATTGTTCCCTAAACAACAAATATTTACATAGCATTTATGTCATATTAGGTATTAAAAGTAATCTAGAAAAGATGTAAATTATATAGGAAGATATGCATAGATTATATGCAAATACCATACTATTTTATAAGGAATTTTAACATCCTTGATTGGGGGGGGGGGTGTAAAGGGGAAAGGAGAAGCAGGTCCTAGAACCAATTTCCCAAAGAGACTGAGGCACAGGTACACAAGCAGAATAAATCAGAAAAAAAAAAAAAAAAAAAAAAAAAACCTAGTAAGTTACAGTTAGGTAGGAGGGGTTTAGTAAACAAAAAGAATTCCAGGGAAAGGGAAGGCATGTGTAAATGCTTTGAGATGGGAACCTACAAAAGAGAAAAGAGACAGGAAAAAATAAAAAGTCTAACAAAGCTAGAGTATAGACAGCCTGGGGAACAGTTGCAGAGGTAGGGGAGAAAGACAAGCCAAGAGGATGGAAGGCCTGGTCTTCAAGATAAGGAGCTCAGACTGTGTTTGGTCAGCAAAGGGAAGGCACTGAAGGAATTCAAGCAGGGTAATGGCTGGATCGGATTTGTATTTTTAAAAGATTACTCTTGCTGCAGTATGGCAAATGGATCAGAATGAGCCAAGGGCAGTTTGGGAGGTGGATGGTGGTTTATTATGGAACTGCATGCAAAAGGAGGTAGCACCCCATGGTGGGATGAACAAGTGTGGCCTTACGAACTTTTAGAGAGAGAAGGCAGACAGGTCTAGATGATTTTGATGTGTCACAAGTAGCCTAGGTTTCTGATTGCTAAGAGGTCCTTTATTTAGTTGAGCTTATTTAGCCAGGGTTTGGAAGGGAATATGACATACAGGTTGCATTCCACATGCACCTGTCATCTAATGAAAATATAGCAGAGGCCACTGAAAACATAAATCAGGAATTCAATAAGAAGATAGATCTAGGCTTGAATTATGGGTCAGAGAGTCTTTGACGAGAGTCTTTGAAGCTACTGGAAGATGAGACCGCCTAAGAAAGGCAATACTATGGGACTGAAGCAGAGGAGCAGGACTCAGCTCAGCAGAACTCCACCATTTAAGAGTAGGTAAATTAGAAGGTGGTTGTTAAAGAGTAAGCTGAGATGAAATGACAACTTTGATAGCAGAGTGGGGGGATGAGCATATCTGAAACAGGGTGTGGTCAATAGTTGTCAAATACCGGGCTGAGATCTTGAAAGGTGAGGAAGGAGGCTTGTCTGACAATTCAGAGCTGCTCCACTTGAACAGTCGCAAGAGAAGTTAGGCTGGAGAGGGTTGAGGAAGGGGGACAGGAGAGGTAAGAGACAACTGCAATTCTGGCTGTAAAGGGATTTGAAGAGTCAAACAATCTTTGTAAATAAATGAGAGGCTTTGGCATGTTTGAATACTAGAGGCCAAGAAGGAAAGGTTGAAAAAAACGAGGGCACTGGGGGGCATCCTCTTCAGCCCCAAGTCCCTGAAAGAGCAGAAGGGGGTTTAGAACACCAGGTTAGCCTCTTTCTTTGTATTCGAAGTCAGCACGGGGCAAAAGGTCAACTAAGAATGCTCTCTGTCAACTTTCTAAATATGTGTTGGCTTTGAGGGCCAGAAAGAGGGTCACAACAGACATTCAAGGCCCCGGAAGGGGACTGCAGAGTTTAGGAAGAACCAAGAGTCAGTCGCACGGCCTTGAGCGACCTATGAGAGTGCAGTTTCCAGCAGCTTCGGGGCAGCGGAAATAACAGTTCAGAGTGGGAGTGGGTGGTGAAAAAATGGGTGCGGTGGGTGCAAAACCGGCTGTGAAAAGAAAGCGTCGCAGGACGGGAAAAGGCGGGCAGGCGGGGAGGGTTGGCAGGATGGGGGGAGCCCGTTTGAGGGTGCAGAAAAGCAAGCTCGGTCAGTGCGGTCACAGCAGGGAGGTAACCCCAGGGCCCGGGCTGCCTGCACCGCGGTTTGACCCAGCGAGGTTTGACCCCGCGAGGTGCCACAAGTCCCCAGGTCTTTGCACCCCGGGCCCTCCCCCCCCCAAAAAAAAAAACCCCAGCCCCGCGGGCGGCCAGGTTGCTCCGCGGATGCTCGGGCCCGGCGCGCCCCGAGGCCGCAGCGCTGCAGCTTCCCCGCGGCCGGGCCCGGCGCCTGCAGAGCCGCAGCCGCCCCGCGCCCCGCGCCCGCCCGCCTCGCAGACCCCGGCGCGTCCCCGCGTCCCGGCCGCGTTTCGAAGTTCCCGGGCCCGCGGCCGCCGTCCTGGAGCCCGCCGCTTACCGCCGCGGGGCAGGGCGGGGTTTCCAGCGAGCCGTCCGCGCCCGGGGACTTCCCCCGCCGGGCCGCACACAACGCCCGCTTCCTTCTTCAGGTTTCCGCCGCGGCTCGCGAGCCCTCCGAACGCCACGGCGGGGCTCACACCCCTCGGGCCCCCGACCCCGCCGCGCCCCGGCCCACCTCCGCCGGCCCCGTCCCCGCGGAGCCCCGGCGCCGAGCCGGAAGGAGCCCGAAGCCCTTCGGCAAGTTCCGCCGCCGGCGCGGGGGCGGGGTCGCCCGCGCGGCTCGGGGCCGCGCTCGGCTGTTTCCGGACGCGGCCGCTGCGCACTCGGCACTGGGCGGCGCTGGCTGGCTCCCTGGCTGCGGCTCCTCAGTCGGCGGCGGCTGCTGCTGCCTGTGGCCCGGGCGGCTGGGAGAAGCGGAGTGTTGGTGAGTGACGCGGCGGAGGTGTAGTTTGACGCGGTGTGTTACGTGGGGGAGAGAATAAAACTCCAGCGAGATCCGGGCCGCGAACGAAAGCAGTGACGGAGGAGCTTGTACCACCGGTAAGAGGAGCAGGAGGAGGAGGCAGGAGCCCGAGAGAGCCGGGGGGACGGCGGGGGGACGGGGAGGCGCCGGACACCCGCGCTCGGGGCCTTCCCCTCGCAGGAGGGGCCGCGGCAAAGATGGAGCCTCCGCCCGAGCCCCACAACATCGCCGCCGCTCGCAGCGAACAAAGAATAATGGCGGCGGACTGGAGCCAGCGGCGGCCCGGCGGCAGCGACTCTGCCTGCAGCCAGCGGCGGCGCTCATGGCGGGGGGCGGCGGGCGGCGGGCGGGGTGCGAGCCGCGGCCGGGGGTGTGTGAGGGCGGCCGGCCGCGGCGAGCTGGCGCCCGCGTTCCCGCCGCCGCCGCCGGGCCGGGCGCGGAGCCGGAGCCGGAGCCGGAGCCGGAGCCGCCCCGGGGGAGGCCGCCCGCCCGCCGGCCCCGGCCCGGCCCGGCCCGGCGCGGCCCCCCGCGCCGCCCGCCGCGCCCCCGGCCCGGCCCGGCCCGGCCCGGCCCGGCGCCCGCCCGCCCGCGGGGGTGGACGAGGAAGCGGGCGCGGCGAGGGCAGCGGAGGTGAAGGCGCCGGCGCCGGCCCCGCGGCTCGCCGGCTGCCCGGCCCGCCGCGCGGGGGACGCGCCGCCGCCGCCGCGCCGGACCCGCTCCCCGCGCGCTTTGTGCAATAAAGTTCGAAGCCCAAGGATTCCTCTCGTGCTGTATTTTATTCCCGCCCCGCTGGGGAAGAGCGGTTCTGGGTCTTTTCTGCTGCGCTGGGAGGAGGAGGACGCAGGGTTTTTCTGATCATTTTTTTTGTGGGGGGAGGTCTCTTCCTCGCCTTCCTCCCCTTCCCTGAAGTCGTGGAGATGCAGGGTTTGGGGGGGAAGGGGGTGCTCGGAAGGACGTTGGGAAGAACTTTTTTGAAAACTATGGGGATCTTGCAAAAGGGAAGCTGGTGTTCGAAAATAGTTTCGGTTTAACCCTTTTCTGTAAGGTAATGATCATTGGAGATTTATCATTCTGAAACACGGGGTGCGGGCGGATTCGTTAGCCCAGGGACTTTTGTTTTGCATCACTTTTTAATTTTTTTTTTTGTTTTTCTTTTTCTTTTTCTCTTTCTGGCGACTCATGCCAGCAGCTTTGGGGTTTTGGGTTCTTGGATTCTCCGCTTACCCCTCCGCCCCCCCCCTTCTCCCCCACATATTTCTTTCCAGACTTCAAGAAGAGATTAATACTAATTCTAAAAATAGACGTTTCAAAGTATCCGTTATTGGTCTCACTTGCAGTAGGCAACCCCAGCCTGGGACTAACAATAATTTAAGGCACAGGCTGATTTTTTTCTCCTCGCCTGTTAGGAAAAAGGGACCGCACGAGAGTCATCGGCACGTTAAAGATTAAAAGACCATTTTTAAAAGGCCCGGAATATGACCTATGGTACCGTCTTAAGAAGTTAGAATTAATTTCTAGCCTCAGGTCTGCCTTCTAAAGGTTGAGTATGAAAGATACTTTGGGTGGACGGTTACTGAGATCTTTTACCGTTCATTTCCTCATGTAAAAGTAAAACCAAAAACGGTTATTCTCGGTGATGCGGGGATGAACAGGTTTATCTTTTTTTTTTTTTTTTTTTAAATACGTGCTGTATCTGTTACGGTATGATAGAATTCATGTTAGGAATAAAAATTGATTGGTAATGGAAGCATTGTATTCTCATTTTTCTGTATCCAAATTACTTTGCAGACCCTGTTTTATTTAAGTATTGGAAGTCTTTAACAAGACCCACATTAGCAGTTTGTTCTTGCTGAGAAGCTTAATTAAGAAGCTGCAGTAAAGAGGTTTTTTTAAATTAAAGATTAGGAAAATTTTATTTCTAAACACTGAGGAAATGATATCATTATTGATGGCACATAACTGTTATTTCCTGAAAAATGATTTTCTGCAAGCCAGCATCGGTAGAATATCTTTACCTTTACAGTGAAAATATGACAAAAATTCTTCTTGAGGAAAACTGAAAATCTGATGGATTACTTCTTAGTCTTATCTAAAATATCTTTGAAATTTTATTTAATTCACAGATATATAACAGTTGCATGTCAGATTTTGCAAACTTTTGTGTTAATACTTGAATATTCTCTTGAAGCATGGTACTGCATTGTACTTATGCCACTTCCCAGGGATCAGTAAAAATTATAGTTACATAGTCTTGGACCTTTTTTTTTTTAAATGGAGACAACGAATTCACAAAGAATGAATCTTTGACACAATTTGATTGAAAAATGTTAAAGGAGCTTCTGGAATTTAAGACTAGTGTTACTCCTTTTGAATGATTTTTTTTCCCACTTGAAAACTGAAGGAAACTTAGAAATGTGAGCCATAAAACGACACCTTTCTGCACTCTCAAACTCATTTTATCAGATCTCATTAATGGGAATTTTCATTTCTTCATAGAGAAGTAACTTTGTGTCTCCCTGTAAGACCAGTTGGGTTTTGTTTTAGAGGTTATAATAGTACCAAGTATGTATTCTCCACTTAATCTAGCTTGAAAATTTTTCCTCCCCCTCCCCCCCACAGTGGAGAAAATTACTGTAATATTTACAGTGTATCACTGAAATTTATAATTTTATTTATTCATTAATATCAGATATAGTTTCACAGGCTTATTTATAGCCAGCCTGGGATATATAGTCTTATAAACAAATCTTTATGTACAGTGTTACCTTTTTTCCTCAAATTTTATTGGTCTGTCCATCCTTTATGTAATTAGGTAATTTGGGGGGTACTGCATAGTGTTACCTTAAGTGGTGGCTGCTTTGTTGAAAAGTTAGCACACAAATCTGAATTTAAGGCTGTAGTAGATAGGGGAATGGGAAAGCAAAGATTTTTCTTACTCAGTGTACTACAGTATCACTTTAGACAACAATAATTTGTGGTAAATCAAATATTTAACACTACTTACTGTGACAGAGAATGCAGTTAGTGGAAAGAATTTAGGTTTTGGAATCACAGGCCTGAGTTTGAATCCTGTTGGCACTATTTGTCATGTGCCTACTTTGGGGAATTTTGTGGCCTACCAGAAGTTTCTTAAGCTCTCTCAGCTTCAGTTCCCTTATCTGTTGAAATCAGTATAATATCACGTACTTTATAGGATTGTGAGTTGGTATAAAGTATCTCTTCTGGGACTCAGTGATACCTATTCATTTTTAAGCTTTATTACTAACTTCCTATCTGTGGGACCTGGGACAAGTTTCTTCTAACTGCTTCAATTTCATTGATCATAAATGTATAGTGTGTACCTCATTGAATAGGGGGTTACATAAATTAAAACATAAACTGCTTAAGTACATTAATATATATTAAATGCAGTCATATCACAATGTTTCCTATTATTTTTAAAAGTATATATTATCATCACTATGTTCAAATACACTCGGCCAAAAGTTTTGATGAATCCAAAGATAAATTAACTGTCTTACCTCTCCTCTGAAGGAACTTTGGGGGCATCATAACTAATAAAGCGGAATAATATATTAGAAGAAAGCAGTCAGAGGAAAGAGGGCACACACATGGTAAAGTAGTAAAAGGAAGGGGGTTATACATAGTTTTATATTTCCAATTTTATTTTTGAATAATTCATTCAGGTAGTTTATAAGTCAAAACATGCACAATGTGATAACACAGAAAATCATGTGGGCTCCCCCCAGTCACACCAATTTCTTCTTTATGTTTTCAGAGACATTTTATCCATACATAAGCTAATACGTATGTACTCTTCCTACTCCCTTCTTTAATATAAATGGTCGTACACTATTAATATATGCACTGTCATTTCCTGTATCTTTCCTTTTTTCACTTTACATGGCTTAGCAGTTGATTTGTTATCAGTACTCTAAGTACCTGCTTCATTCTTTTAATTAGGCACTTGGTCATACGGATGTACCAGTATTAACCAGTTAGCTTGAAATTTTTTTTTTTTTTTAGGTCTTATGTGACCTTTTCAACAAAGAGAATTTACCACTTTGCCTTTATTTCTTTAAATGAAAGACATTTTATTTGAATGAGAAATACCGGTTTGCTGCAGGAAGTTGTTATTTGAACTGCCGCATTACCTCTTTAGCTCCAGTTTTAAAAAGTTTCAGTGAAATAATCAAGATGTGAGTGAAGAGGCAAGGAAGTTGTGTAAGAATTAACTCACAAAATGATTTAGTCTATCTCTTTGAGATTTCTTAAAGCCCTGAATGACTACTTCCTTCTGTTACTTTTTCAGCCAAAAAGATCTTCATGATTTTCTTTCTAAATGAGAAGGACATCTCATTGTAGTTGAGTTCTATTTTTTTAAGCAGTTCTCATGGGATATATTATTATCCAGTAATGCTGATTAGTGTGCTGGCTTTCTCCCCAAGTTTATTTTTTACATACTTATTAACTTACTTTTTGATTTTCTAGTATTATTGTAATTTATCTGAGTGTTACATTGTACATATAAATAATGAGTTTCACCTATGTGATTGTCTGCTGCGATTATACACTTTACTACTTAGATGAATTTTCTTGTTTTTTATGCTATGGATTACTCTACTGATTGGACCATTTCAGCTAGAGCACAAAACAAGTTCCAGTATCTCTAGTTTTCTTTTTTGGCTCTTCTAAGCAGCATTTGACTAGAGTACATTTTAAATACACATGCTGTTAGTATATTTATCTTTCAGGTACACATGCTATACATGTTTTAGGTTGATTAAACTTAGAAAGTGATAACCTAGCAGCAAGGACACAAATAAGTCTCATATCTTTCAAAACCCAAATCATTAAATGAAGTTTTGGTGGCATATCTCATTAATTGTACTTTACAATAGAGTTATGGATGCTAAAATTCTTCATGTCAGAATATTGTCTTACTATTGTGAGAATTTAGCAGTATTTTATGTAAAATAATATGTACTGTTTTTACTTGTTCAATGACTAATGTTTAAAAAGCACTTTATAGACTTGAAGGCTGGAGATCATTGAAATTTGTGAAAACAAAGAATTT